GCACGGCATCACCCAGTCGTTCACGCTTCCGGCCTCTCCGCAGCAAAATGGGGTTGCTGAGCGCCGCATTGGCTTAGTCATGGAGGTCGCTCGTACCTCCATGATCCATGCGGTTGCCCCCCATTTCCTGTGGCCGTTTGCGGTCCGGTACGCCGCGCATCAGCTCAACCTCTGGCCCTGTGTCTCCTTGCCGGAGACCTCGCCCACACTGCTGTGGACGGGGAAGGTTGGCGATGCGTCGCGTTTCCGGGTCTGGGGTGCTCGTGCCTTTGTTCGCGATACCACCGCGGACAAGCTCTCCGCCCGCGCTGTTCCCTGTGTCTTCCTTGGCTTTGTCCCTGACGCGCCTGGTTGGCAGTTTTACCACCCCACCTCGCGCCGTGTCTTTGCGTCTCAGGACGTCACGTTCGACGAGTCGGTTCCCTTTTACCGTCTCTTTCCCTACCGCGCTGTCCCGCTCCCCCCCCCCGCCGCTCTTCCTCGCTCCAGGTGCTCCCCAGGTAGACCCCCTCCCCGCTCCCGGTCCTGCTCCTTCAGGTGTTTCTCAGGTAGACCCTCCTCCCTTTACTGCGCCGGTTGAGGTCACTGGTGACTCAGGTCCTACTGAGGGTGGTCCTGCTCGGGGTGCTACTTCTGTGGGTGCTGAGCCTGGGGGTGCGGAGCCTGGGGGTGCTGAGCCTGGTGGTGCTGAGCCTGAGTGTGAGGGGTCTGGGGGTGCTGAGCTTGGCGGTACTGACGCTGGAGGTTCTGGAGCTACTGAGGGTGCTGGCGCTGGAGGTTCGGGAGCTGCTGGAGGGCCTAGTACTGGTGGCACTGGAGCTGGAGGTTCTGGAGCTGCTGAGGGTGCTCGCGCTGGAGGTTCTGGAGCCGCTGGAGGTACTGGTGCTGAGGGTACTGACACCGGAGGTTCTGGAGCCGTTGGGGGTGCGGGCGCTGAGGGTTCTGAGTCTGCTGTTGCGCAGTCTCCTTGGAGTAGCCGCCTTCGTCCACGTGTGCCTCTCACCCCACAGCAGCTGCAGGACTGGTACGGTCGCCGTCAGCGTCGCGCTGCTGGAGCTAGGAGTGGTGCTGGTCCTTTGTCTACTGGAGGTGCTGGAGTCGCTGGTTCTGGAGGTGGTCGTATTGGAGACACTGAGGCTGGAGACCCTGGGACTGGAGGTGCTGGCTCTGGGGGTGCTGCTGCTGGAGACATTGAGGCTGGAGACCCTGGGACTGGAGGTGCTGGTTCTGGGGGTGCTGCTGCTGGAGACACAGAGGTTGGAGACCCTGGGACTGGAGGTATCGGCTTTGGGACTGGAGCTTCTGGAGCTGCTGGAGGTACTGGAGCTGCTGGAGGTACTGGAGCTGCTGGAGGCACTGGAGCTGCTGGAGCTGCCGGTACTGGTGCAGCTGCGCCGACACGACTGTTCTTCGCTCCGCCGTCTCCGTCGTCTCTGCCACCGTCTGACTCTGTTCTTCGTCAGGTTCTTATTCTCCCGTCGTCTACTGGTCTTCCGTTACAGCCTGGCTCACCGCTGCCTGCTCCTTCTCCTTACACTGAGCAGACTGGTAGTCCTGCTGAGCGTCGTGAGCCTGCGTCGCGTCCTGTTTCGCCTGTTCGTCCTGGTCGTACCGGTCGTCGTGTTCCTTGTTCGCGTCAGCCGGCTGTCCCCGGCGCACACCTCGTAGTCCGTCGTCCTTCCTCTGCTCCGCAGCCTGTTCCTCTGCCGTCTCCTCCTGCGTCCTCTTTGCCTGATGTTCCGGACCCTGCGTCTGACCGGTTTCGTGCTGAGCACCCTACTGTCACGCGTCTACTAGCCACTGTTGTCACTGACCCGTCGTTTGAGTCTACTGCTGCGTCTGCTCTTGTCGCTGAGCTTGTTGACTTTGCTGCTGCCTGTCGTCTAGACTTCGCTACCAGTCTTGTTGCTGAGTCTGAGTCTGTCTGTCCTCCGTCCGTCGGGGGTGAGTGTGCTCTTAGCACGGACGTCCTTGAGGACAGGCACGAGGACCTTGAGTGTCTTGCAGCCGCTGCGCCTCATCTCGTTGCCATGCTGCTTGCCCCTGAGGGAGACCCGGATGCACCAGACATCCCGACCCCGCGTTCTTACGCTGAGGCGATCGCGGGTGAGTACTCCTCTCAGTGGCAGACAGCCATGGACGCAGAGATGGCATCCTGGAAGTCCACTGGCACTTACGTCGACGAGGTTCCCCCTCTTGGGGCGAACATCGTCAGTGGCATGTGGATTTTCAGGGTGAAGCGGCCGCCAGGTTCTCCGCCTGTCTTCAAGGCTCGTTACGTTGCTCGAGGCTTCAGTCAGCGAGAGGGAGTTGACTTCTTCCAGACCTTCTCCCCCACCCCGAAGATGACCACTCTTCGGGTGCTGCTGCACGTTGCTGCTCACCGTGACTACGAGCTTCACTCTCTTGACTTCAGCACAGCTTTCTTGCAGGGCAGCCTGCACGAGGAGATCTGGCTGCGCCGCCCCCCGGGCTTCACTGGGTCGTTCCCTCCTGGTACCCAGTGGAGCCTCCGACGGCCAGTTTACGGTCTCCGCCAGGCGCCACGTGAGTGGCACGACACACTGAGGACTACACTTGCGGCTCTTGGGTTCGCGCCTTCTACTGCTGACCCGTCGCTGTTTCTGCGCACCGACACTTCACTGCCACCGTTCTACATCCTCGTGTACGTCGACGACTTGGTCTTTGCCACTGCTGACACTGAGGCTCTCGCCCACGTGAAGTCGGAGCTGCAGAAGAGACACACGTGCACAGACTTGGGTGAGCTGCGCAGCTACCTTGGCTTGCAGATCACCCGGGACAGAGCACGCCGCACCATCACCTTGACTCAGTCACACATGGTGCAGCAGGTCCTTCAGCGCTTCGGTTTCACCTGGTCTTCAGCACAGGCCACTCCTCTGGCTACAGGTCACACGCTCTCAGCTCCACCTTCGGACGAGTCCGTAGAGCCGAGTGGTCCTTACCCAGAGCTAGTCGGCTGCCTCATGTACCTGATGACTTGCACTCGACCTGACCTCGCGTACCCTCTTGGTCTTCTGGCTCGCTACGTGGCTCCTGGTCGGCACCGACCTGAGCACATGGCTGCTGCTAAGATGGTACTGCGCTACTTGTGCAGCACATCAGGCATGGGGCTAGTGCTTGGAGGGACGAGCCCAGTTGTCCTCACTGGACACTCAGACGCTTCTTGGGTTGACGACCAGGCTACTCAGCGGTCGTCACAGGGTTACACCTTCAGCCTTGGCTCTGGCTCAGTTTCGTGGCGTTCTACACGTTCGTCTTCAGTTCTCAGCTCCAGTTGTGAGGCTGAGATCTACGCCACAGCCATGGCTGCACAGGAGTTACGCTGGCTCACCTACCTGCTGACTGACTTGGGAGAGCAGCCTCGTTCTCCTCCAGTGCTGTACGTCGACAACAAGGCCGCCATTGCCTTGTGTGAGGAGCACAGACTGGAGCACAGAACGAAGCACATTGCTCTGCGTTACTTCCTGGCTCGAGAGTTGCAGCAGCGAGGCCAGCTTCGTCTTCGCCACGTGGCCACTCAGGCCAACACTGCTGATATATTCACCAAGGCACTTCCGTCTGGTGATCATCAGCGCTTTTGTACTCTGTTGGGCCTTGTGCCTACGTTTCCACACTTGCTGTAGTCTCTGCTTGTACTGTGATCTATATATATACCTGCATGCTGGCTCTTGCTAGGTAGCCATCACTGTACTGTTATTGCTGCATATATATCTCTGCATGTGAACTGGCCCTGTGGCCTTTTGCTTGTGCTCGGAATGTGTAGTGACGTTGTGATCCACCCTGAGCTTGTTTTGCTTCTCTTGACTGGTCGTGTGACCCCTTGTTCTCCCCCACTTTGCCTATGGGGTGTGTCAAACTATATGTGCTGCATATTGTCTAGGCTGTAGTGGGGTAGCCCATATGGTATACAACCCAATTAGGGTTTACTACTTGTACTCCTGCATCCTGTTAGTTCATCCATTCCTGCTGCTAGATTCTGACATGGCACACGACAGCTATCCTGAATTCAGGAGAATCCGGATAAATTATCCTGAAATCTGGGCCCTGCCAAGGGTAGGGGGCTACCGCAGTAATGGGCGAGGAAATTAATTAACCAGTGTGGGTCATAATAAGGTAGATCTAGCAGCCTGCACCCACTGACCGTGGGTGATACCTCCTCTTTTCTCTTTCTTCCCTTCGCTCCTCCGCTCTCCCCTCGCTGGCCGTTGTTTCTCTCTCTCTCCCCATCGATATTGTTCTATCCGTTGGTGATACCTTGTCAAACTTATTTATCCCCCTCGTCCTACACTGTCCCTATTTTTAACCTCTCTCAGCCTCAAGTCCAAGGTCTCGCCGTTTCTCGTCGGCCCACCTTGGCATATGTGTGTGCTCTGGATTCTGTGTTGTTGATTGATGTTCGGTTTTGTGAAGTTCGATGACTGCTCGAGTGAATACAGGCATTGAAATATGCCAAATTCGCACAGAAGTATGTGTGCATTGTGTGTGAGTTTCGCTGCCAATCAGAATTGTGCACTCTTCCAAGTGTTCCCCGTTCACAGCGAGACTCGTCAGGAGTGGAAAAATAAACATGCACAGCACTTCATTGGTTCCGAAACTGTTCCAAAAAAACTTCAGTTTTCAAGTGGACCCAACTAGAAGGGGGGGGGTCACAATTTTAGCTGCTGGCTTTAAAACACCCATGGGTGAACTTCATGTGCAATGTGCGTAGGACAGCACTATACAAGGTTAATGCCCCATTTACCCAATGATATGATCCAACATTTGTTTCAAAAAATAATACTTCCAACTCCAAAACAAAGGTTCCCCGTTTTAGACAAATCCACACATTTGGCTTTGTCGGTGGCAAACCTTCCAACACAAATTAAAGAAATACCAAAGCAGACGCTGTCGTGCTGTGCCAGTATGTGGCTACAATTGCTTCCAGCAGCTTGCACGAAAGCCTTCAGTCAAGATAATCGCCTTTACAAACATGTACACGATTAAAGGCAAGGTAGCCTTCTGTTGTAAGTTGGTCTGGGTTTCTGCACGAAAAGGAAGACACGTGAGCCCGAGATGAATCAACGGGACGACAAAACTAGGAAGTGACCAACACGGGATGACACGTGAAACCAAGATGAATCAATGGAACGACAACAAAACAAAAACGGCTATGACTTACCTCAGACTGGTAGTGGGTTGTACCAGGCATAGACAGCTGTATCAGGTTCCGAACCCGCCGTGTGTGGTGGCTGAGCAGGAGACACGAAATCCTTGGAGCCTAAAAGTGGAAAAAACGCACAGGTTACATTGCTGACGACGTTGAAAACATTCAAACGAAGCTGAAAATCCCATACCACTTCCAAACCGCGAAGGCAGCTTGTAGTCCCGCTTGAATGTGGCTGGAAGAGAATGCGATGTTTCCAGATGTCGGTCCTTCCTTGCAGCCTTTACTGAGCCAATTATATTCACGGGTTGGGAAGAAACTCTTCCACACTCCACGCTCCTTCGCCGCTTTTCGAAGTCATCTGGAAGGCGCGAAGGAAGTTCACGCACGATTTTCCGATTTTAACATCTGTTCAACGAGAAGGAAAAATAGTGAAGTCTGAGCGTTAAACCTCGCACCGTGGAGGTTAAACCTTCCTCACCTTCCCACGATGGCTTTGGTGAATTCACAGGACTGCCAGTCAAGTCCACAGAATTCGACGGCGACTGGGGAATGTTCAGAGCCCCAAGTCGATCCTGGCACTTCTCTGGCTTCGGACCTCCCAGAACCTCGTCCCAGAGAGTGCTAAGGATGCTCATACTGACTTGTGGAAGGCAGCCTTAGGAAGAGCCTTGCTTTCACCCTCCTTCCAGCTGACCTTCATGGAGTGAATGAAGCTTGTTCTCTCGCACCAAGCAGCACAAAATATTCTTCCCACGGCTCCGCCTGACACCACAAGGTGTCTCCAGACCTCACCCAAACCGAACCACCGAGCCTAACTGGCTCCCCTTCAGGTAGATCAAACTTCCGTTCGTTGGGAGTTTTGCGAAGGGGTTTGGCACAATTGAGCAGAGGCAATTTGCCCTAACCCCACACCCTCAAGTTACCGTTCCGCCAACCAGAGGTCACCGTGGCGAAGCAAAACCCAGACTCGAGCAGCTAGCTACCTGATAGGCCTGGGCTCTACCAAACCGCAACGACCCCCAATGGCATGTGGCGATACCTCCGACGTGGACATGCAGGCGTGCCTATGAAGCCGAGCCTGCTGGCACTTGCCCACCAATAGCCAGCGCATCAGAACAGGCACATGCCAGTTTTTCGACGCATCCACCCTCATGGGACATTGTATTGTAACCCTCGCCTGGGCTAACAACACCGAAACCGCCCAATGGTAGCAGGGTAAGTACAATTCTGAACATTTCAGGGGACTCCACTTGTTATGAGCTGTAATATCAGTGTACGCGGAAGTATTCAGTAACGATAATGTGATTACGAAAGTTGAGAATACAATGAAAGAACGAGTATATATAGGGTAAAACTGGGCTAGGCTACGACCTCGGGACATGCGAGGGTTGGGGGTGTCGCGATTAGAGCGTGGACGACATGCGAGGGTTCGAGGCAAAAGTGTAAGGCCGAATCGCAATGTCGCGAAGTGCTCGGGACAGGGCTGACGTTTCAAATTAGGCCTCCCTTAATCCGGGAATTTTTTTCTCCTGAATTATGGGTGCTTATTTTCCAGAAAAACATCACCCTGATTGCTCAGTGTTGGGAAGTTATATAGTCTGATTGATCAGGGTCGAGAACTCAGGATCAGGGTAAGTAACGTGCTGTGCATTATCGAATGTTTGTATGGTTCGGATATTCTAAAAGATCTTGTGTGGATTTGATAACCAATCAAATTGGACGACCATTCGTTCTTCAGATTTCTGGTTGCGCACTGTTCTTGACTGGTGATTTGGACCCGAGATGACTGGTCATAGCAAAATCGCCTTGACAAAGTGGATTCATGCCGTCTAGAGCAACAGATTCGCCAAATCACATAGATAGGGCCCTGACACAAAATGATTCCTTCTGCTGTCAGAGAACAAATATTTCGACCAATCGCAGCAATATACATCTGACATTGCATATTTGGCCGAACTCGATGGTGGGTGGGTGTATTTAGAAGAAATATCTAAAAAAACATCGTTCCGATAATGTGGGGGGGAGGGGGATTACGCACATGGTGAGTACTCATGCTGCGATGCGATCAATCCGAAGACGAGGTTATCGAGAGGACCTGGTTGGCCCCGCCCTCGCTTGAGCAACGCCAACGTCTTGGTCAGATGTACGGAAAATACATGCCGATTGTTCACAGTGAGGAAGCTGCTCGACGGGCGTCATCGAGCTGCAGGGAATTACCATGGTGTTGTTGTCGACCAGGGAGTTCGACGACCATCTTGAGTGGGGCAGGACGACGAAGTGGTCGTCGTCCTGCACAGGTCTATCATGGGGCTAGAGCCATCGACCAAGAAGCTCGACAGCTGCAGCTGACTGGGCTAGTCGACGGGTAGGCCTTTCGACCAGGAGGAGCTGTTCGACGGGGAGGCCAACGGAGCAGTTTCTCGACCTGACATGTGAACGCCAGTCGACGACGGAAGCTCGGCGACAGTGCTGGTTGACGGAGGGATCTGTCAACCAGGGAGTTGCTTGACGGGAGCTGTGGTCGACCAAAGGCACTTGGTGGGCAACCAGAGCACTTGGTGGTCGACAAGAGGCACTGGTGGTCGACCAGAGCACCTGGTGGTGACCAGGTAACCTGCTCGGCGAGTTCTGCGGAGGCACGCGAACGTCGTCGAGGTCGCCGTAACGAGGGCGACTTTGGGCTGGTATCCCGAAGTCGATGTGGCTCATCCGGCGCAGACCACAGCCGACAAATGCACAACGGTGCAAGTCGGGCCAATCGTCTGCGCGCACCTACGTACATGCGCATTGCTGTCTTCTACGGGTGCAACGCTGGACAGCCGCTCTGCTGCAGGGTTGGCACGCCGTCGGCCTGGTGTGTTGGCAGGTGTCAGAGGTCCACTGGAGATCCCCGATGATCCTAGGGAAGGGTTACAGGCCCGTTGGCCTGGGGGGTTATGGGCGCACTCACCCGCTATACAAAACAAGCCCTTTTATCCCAGTGGTTAGTGGCTGGGATTCTGACATGGTATCAGAGCGAAGGTCTCGGGTTCGATTCCCGGTGTGTGCACTTCGGGCATCCCAGTGCGGGGGGGTGTCAGAGGTCCACTGGAGATCCCCGATGATCCTAGGGAAGGGTTACAGGCCCGTTGGCCTGGGGGGTTATGGGCGCACTCACCCGCTATACAAAACAAGCCCTTTTATCCCAGTGGTTAGTGGCTGGGATTCTGACAGCAGGTCGCTTTTCTGCAGTGCTGGCGTAGCTCATCTATACAGCGATGGTAGGCAGTCGTCCATGCTGTGCTGGCGGTCGACCAAGCTAACTGCAGAATTGCTAAGTGCCTGATGTAGCCATTCTTGTCATTCTCGTGTCCATCATTTTGTAATGCAATCTTTGCCTAGTGAAACTCTTGCCGATTTCTCCCGTGTATGCGCAAGCGCTAAGGAACTAAGCAAAGCTACGATCACTCCTAGTTCTTCGTGCCAACCCCAACTCCGTAGTTTAGCTCACTACCTTGTAGAATGAATCTTTGCATGGTGCGGTGAGCGTGGACGGCCCCGCAAATTACCTTCAGATAGAAGCCTACCTATGCACCTACTAAGTCGTTCGTAGGCCGGCAGCAGCGTTAGTCGCCATGGTCGACCCCGTAGTTGATGCGGGCGTAGCGGACACCTTGGAGGCACGCTTGGCTGATGCGCGGAAATGCGCTGATGATGGTGAATACAGGAAGATCCCCTGGGCGATCGTCGAGTTGGGCATCCGGGCGCAGTGGGCGACGGAGCACCCTTCCCGTCTTGCATCACCTCGACCGGTACGAAACGGATGTGGCGTCGACGACGAGGTCGACGGCGGTGCACGAGTCAGCGGCAACGATGGCACGAAGCAGAGAAAGGTGATCAAGGTCAACGGTGGCACCGACAAGAGTCAGGCGCGAATGTAGCGGTCGACGGCGGCTGCAGGCAGCTCGTGTGCCAACGTCGATGGTCGACGTCGCTCTCCTCTACGAAGTGGTGGAGGCTTCTCGGCGATGACTTACGTGACGGCAGGCGGGACTGCACCGGGATGGCTACTTCAATTTTTCGCCAGACCGGATCACCTTCACACCTCTGCAAGGTTGAGAGGGCCTCATCACCTGGAGGGAGTTGATAGAACCTCAGCTGGAGGTCGTCGGGCTGAAGGGCTTCGCCGATGGCACCGTGCCAATACCGCCCGAGGACGATATAGAGCTGTGCAGGGAGTTTCGTGCTGCTCACTTGCTCACCTTCATGGTCATCTCGAGGTGCTGCTCGCCGGTGGTGCAACTAGCACTCAGGTCCTGTCGAAGTGCTGCTCGCCGGTGGTGCAACCAGCATCCACGACGAGGCTATGCAGGAGGCAGAGCAGCCCACGGAGCTCCTTCCGCAGGCAAGTTACGCTGCACCGACGAAGCAGTTTCGTCAGCAGGAGCAGCGCGGGAAGCCGGGCGGAGGTGGTAGCGGAGGTGGGCGGTCGACGAAGGACGTCGACGAGAAGAGGTCGTCGTGGGGCAAGGGATGTGGAGGAGGTGGTCAACGGCGGGAGTGCTGGATATGCCAAAACCCCGACCACCTTTCCTACGAGTGCCCCAACCGCGACGACAACGACGAGGACAACAACAAGCGAGGCCGCAGTCAATCTGCCAGTCGTCGCCCCCGTCGAGATGAGAAGCCGCGCAAGGAGAAGCAGACGTAAAAGAAGACGTCGTCGGCGAAGGACGTCAACAACTTCAGCGGCAAAGGCCGAGGTGACAGGGAGGCGTCATGCTCGATGGTCGGCGTGGTGGAGCCGACAGTCTCGCTGGCGCCGGAGGCTGGCGAGGACTTCCAGGCGGTGGTGGCAGCTGTGCAGGCAAACCTGATGGCAGTGCTGTTCGACAGCGGTTGCTCCCACCACCTGATGGGACGAAGGTGGCCTTCGTTGACATGGCGCCGAGCAACAGTGTGAAGCACGTGCGCGACTTCAATGGGGCATCGTAGCCTGTCAAGGGCAGTGGAACCATCGCTCTGCAAGGAGTGCCTGGAAGCGGGTCCTCATCTTAGATGTGCTCTACGTTCCAGGATTGCAGGCAAACCTAGTGTCAGATAGCCAATAGAAGGAGAGCGGAGTGCAGCTGCAGGGTGACGACGACGAGATGCTGCTCGTTGCTGCGACCGGGGAGGTGCTCGGTTGAGCACGCTACAACGGACAAGTCCTCTGCACCGACCTTCGTTTCTGCTCGACGCGGTCGCCGTCGACCGAGGTAGTGGCTCTGCAGACGATCGTCTCGGCTACGAAGTCGACCCCTGAATGGTAGCATTTGAGGCTTGCCCACGTCAACGTCGATACGATCAAGAGCTCGGCGAAGCATGAAGTTGCTACTGGGCTCGACATCAAGCCGTCGACCGCAGCAGACCCGCATCGGAGGAAAGCGGACGCAGATGAGGCACTGGCTGTTATGCACATTGACTTGTGTGGGCCATTTCGAGTGGCTGCCAAGGATCTCCACACTCGTTTCGTGTGGGCAATGCCGGTCGCTAAGAAGAGCGATGTGCTGCGGGAGTTCCAACAGTGGTTGGTGCTAGTAGAGCGGCAGATGAAGAAGACGGTGCTAATACTCTGCTCAGACCGAGGAGGGAAGGTCCTTGGGAAGGAGTTCAC